GGTGGAAAAATACACCGAAACGTATTTTGATTGATAAATAAATGACTGAAACCCAGGAATGAATTTGATTTGGAATTGAAACACAGTCAGGAAAGAATATACATATAAAATTAAGTAAAGATATTGATTGAAAATATGGTCGTGTTTAAAAATGTTTCTTTGTCGGAATATCTGTTATCAACATGGTCCCTCTTAAGTAGACTTTTGCATAAATACTTGGAAAAGCTCATAATAAATCTTGCACCCATCAGACAAGAGCTTAGGAAACATTTACAGTTTTCTGCCCTCAGGAAATTTGTCAGGCTTAATTTTTTTATCAGCCTTGCCGCTTGATTTATTAGCCCATTATTTAAGGGGCGTTTTTCCAATAGTTTGCTGCTCTTAGCTGAAATTGGTGCAACTCAAATCAACCCTCTCAGTTGAAAAATACACAGACGAACAATTCCCCAAATAGTCACCAAAAAGTGACTAAATCGCAAAAAAGAGCCCGCACCAAATCAGATTAACCGAATGAACATGAACAACAGCGAGAAAACAAGAGTTAGTCAAACTGAGCTCCTAATTTTCAAGCTGAGCAGCGACAGCGCTGGAATAACGGCCTGCTTGTCTACGGGATGAAAGCGCTCAGTCACATGGGAAACGGGTTAATCAAGGTTTTAATAATGAATTTATTTGCCTTTAGAGGGGCGAATTTTACGAATTAGCTCCTAATCCCAGAAATGATCTGCAGCTGGATTTGCGATGGATTAGTCAATCCTGCGCTCAATTTCCAACACTTTAAGGCATCTGCATATGCAAGGCTTCTGGCAGAAAATTCGATTTTTCAAACCAAAAAGATCCGCAAAATAAATTATCGCAGCTGATGAATGAACATTCAAGGGAATTCCTGCACAATAGCCGAAAATGGGTTTTGGGTAACGGGAAAACGTGCTTGAAAGACACGGACTAAACGGGCTACAAAAAATCGTCCAATATGAAGCTGTCTGGGTTTGATTAAGCAATTGCAAGTCTTTTTCAACACGGATTAAACGGGAGGCTTCGCAACCGACGATCAGCAGCGCCAWTGTTTTTTTTATCATTTAACTGTCCAYGAGGWCGAAAGTTAAAATTTTCCYGGCGCATAATTAAAATTCTGTTGGGCGCTCAAGTTTCAGTGTTAATTTTTTTTWGKTTYMAGGCGCATTTTAATCGGCGGTTAATGCCGCATCTCTATAAAGCAATGGAAAAATCCTGTTTTAAAACTTCCAAACTCCACGCATAGCAAGAAGCTAAAATGTTCCTTAAGACCGGTCTAATTAACGTTGGAACGTCTGGTTCAGTTTCGATTTGAAATCGGAGCGCTGATGTAAACCGATAGCAAACGTTCTCTTATAAATAGAATTGTTTTGACCAAAAACACCAATCGGAGGATTTTAGGACCAAAGTGGAAACAAACGCCGATATTTTTAGGCTTTTGGCAAGCCTGAAAGACAACAGGCGGGCATTTAACGACTTCGTCCAAATGCTCCAAGCTATTAACATAATGAGCCTTTGAACTGATCTACTTAATATCAGCAACGAAAATACGCTTTGGACTTGTTATCGTGCCACATTTTGCTCTTGTGTGGGCGGTTTTAAGCCAACCAAATCCTCCGATTGGTTGGAGGAAAAATGCTCTGGTTAGTAGAAGGCATCGCAATCTTCCGAAGGGCTAGATCACGCTAAATTCTAGGACAAAAGTCAATTTGTTCGAAGAAGCAACTAACGACTATGTTTTCAAGTGCAACTATAGCAAAAAAAGCGCAAAATATTGAGGATTTTATGTCCGCTAGGCGAATTTTAGTGAAAGCTAGCCCTTGGAGCGGAAAAAGCAACAAAACGAATCCAGATGCTTACCGAAGTTGTGTACGAGGAGTAAGCAGGCGAAGAGCGGTAAGGCCTTCGGGTGGTGTAAAAGTCGGAATCGTACACCATTTTGATGGGCGACAAAAGGGGCGGCAAAAGGAGACGATAGGAGAAACTAAAGAAATTCGGCGTCGAGAGATGTTAAAACTGGACTGAGGCACCGGCTTGGATCCCGGGATTTTAACATCAAACTTTCAACGGTGACGTTTTCCGTTGGCTAAAAATAGGTGCAAGACGCGTAAACCTGCGATTTTTCGCTTATTTTTGTTTGGTTTTTCTGTTTTCATTACTGGCCCGTGTTTTTCGGGTGTGCGGAGGCTCATTTTCCTCCACGCGAATGATGTCACTAACTAAAATTTGCGTTACACTCACAACTCCTAATAAGAGTGACGAATTTGCACGCAAAATTACACCCACTTGAATATATTTTTAACAGAGCTTCGCAGTTGAATACAGCGCAGAACTTTGAATTTGCCGCCCAACTGTCGCCTAGCAACAAACAAAGCCACATATTTTGGCGTTAGACTTGTCAATTTGACCAGCCATGTCAGATTCTAGGTTAAAAAGTGACATGTGGCGTGTTCTATGTGGTTTTGTTGCTAGGAAACGGCGACGCGCCAAATTCAAATCTCTGCGATTTTCCAGGCAAAAGCGGATCTCTATCCAACGATTATTTATCTCTAGAATGATGTACAAATGAGCGTTCGTGCTCATTTTGCCTCCGAGATATGAGCAAAAACGGGACGGAAAACATGAAATTTTGGCATAATCTTG